TATATGCCCACCTGTCGCTCGCTAGGTACCCACAACGGGCTTTGCGATGCTGTGCCACCTTGCTGGCTAGGCATGACTTAGCTCGAGCGGTGGTCAGCTTTAGTGCTGAAACCGCGAGCCCTTGGAATCGAGTCAAGCTTGCCCATCCGCTCGAATCGATACAGATTACTGCGCTGAGAGAGGTGAGTTGGAGAGCGGCTTCAGCGGCAGTTGCTGATAGTGCATTGCAAACCAAATAGGCCACTGGGTTGAAGTATCTGGACCTTGGATGCATCCCTATTTTGGCGCTCGATATCCTGAACCATTGCACATTTCAACTCAAGCACCTTGCCTGGGAGACAGTCGATTGCCACCCAATACTGCATACATTCCTAGAGCGCCAGCCATCGATTCAATCTCTTGCGCTCACGTCTCTTGAATCGCTCACGGGGCTTCAGCCACTACATGTTCCCCACCTTCGTTCCTTCTGCGGTCACGCATCGCTCGCAGCACAAATAATACCTGGTCGACCTGTCGAAACAGTTGTTATCAAGGGAGATCCTATATACCCGGATCTAGTTGATGCGCTGCAGAAAATGGGAGCGTCAAACACCCCGGTACGCGTCCTGGAACTCTATTCGACTGGCTTAAACCTTGGTACGAGCCGAGAGTGGTCCACTCCTCGGGGGTTTTTCCTCGAGTTGACGTCAGCACTCCCACAACTACGGAAGCTAAAGATCATGCTGAGGAATGAGGGAGAGGGGGATCTGATTAATGCCTTGACTGAAACGGTATATCTCTCTCCCCGTTTGGAGCGGGCGTTTGGCTTATTCCTCCGCTAGATAAACCATTCCATTGGTGATCTCAAAGACCTTCGCTGCTTCTCGATCAAGACAGATATCGAGTCGTTTCCTATGTATGCCTCCCACTTGAGCGAAGGGCGAGAAGTGGAACTGTGCCAGTCTTGGCGAAAGTCGTGCCCACGGTTAGTGGAGGTTGAGTATTTATCTGCTCGGCAGTGGCAGTTTGTTGACGGCCGATGGGAGAGGTCAAAAAATGGGCTTTGCTTTGAGGACCGGAGCATTGATAGAGTCTGGTCGAGGGATTTGAAGCCGCCCAGGGCGCATTCACCCCCAGGTTGAGCGTTGTACATAATTCGTTCGGGCTTATTTTCGGTTATTTGGTTGCAACACTGGATTTGTCATCCAGAGTGAGCGATCAAGAATTTCGACTTGACTTTCACCTTTATCTTGACTTGTCTCAATGGATGACTTATTCTCGCACATCACTGGTGATAATGACCCAGCCATGGACCAGCCGCTTGGGGGGTCGTCGACAAAGCCCAAGAAGAAGAAGCGCAAGGTCGCGGCTGCAGAGGCGGCGCCGGAGTCCATGGAGGTTGATGGCGTGTCCAATCCCCAAGGAGCTGACGAGCCGTCGAACGTCGAGGAACCATTGTCCAAGAGGCAAAAGGTTGGCGCTGTTGAGTCAGTAGAGGTCGATGCGGTCGAGCTCCAAGCGCAGAGAGAGGTGGCGGCCAGTAGTGGCTTGACGGGTCAGGAAACGTCTGAACAGGGGGCGAGTCTTGTGTTGACCCATCAGGTAGGTCTGGTTTGGTGTCGCTACTATCTCTGCTCATGTTGTTCTAGGTTCGGCACCAAGTCGCTCTTCCCCCTGGCTATCCGTACATACCTATCAAATCGCATGTTCCTCCGGAAAAACCTGCGCGAGAATACCCCTTTACGCTCGATCCATTCCAGCAGCTTTCGGTGTACGCCATTGACCGGGACGAGTCTGTGCTAGTATCCGCACATACTAGTGCGGGTAAGACTGTCGTAGCAGAGTACGCGATTGCAAAATGTCTGCAGAATAAGCAACGAGTAATTTACACGAGCCCCATCAAGGTGAGCAGGTTGCTTGGTCAGGGTGTTACGTCTAATTGATTTTGGTTTAGGCCTTGAGTAACCAAAAGTACCGAGAAATGCTGGCAGAATTTGGTGACGTTGGGCTCATGACTGGGGATGTAACTATCAACCCAACTGCGTCGTGTTTGGTTATGACCACTGAGGTATGTTGAGTCATGCTCCAAACGAGTCGTGATTCTGACATTCCTCCAGATTCTTCGGTCAATGTTATATCGGGGCTCAGAGATTATGCGTGAAGTTGCTTGGGTTATCTTCGACGAAATCCACTACATGCGCGACGCAGGTTGGTGATTTACCGCAGTGTCCGCCAAGCCGAGCTCACACAATTACTAGAACGTGGAGTCATCTGGGAAGAAACCATCATTCTCTTACCGCACAAAGTCCATTATGTTTTCTTGTCTGCCACTATTCCCAACGCCATGGAGTTTGCACGTTGGATCACGAACACTCATGAACAACCTTGCCATGTTGTTTACACAAACTTCCGGCCAACTCCCTTGCAACACTACCTCTTCCCCTCTGGCGGCGATGGGATCTACTTGGTTGTCAACGAAAAGAGCGAATTCCGGGAGGACAACTTTCAAAAAGCCATGGGCAAACTCGCCGGGATGCAGGGCGAGGACCCCGCGGACCCGCTTAGCGGGCGAAACAAAAAGGGAAAGACCAAGAAGGGCGGCCCGACTAAAGGTAAATATCAAGTTTGTCTCCTTGGAACGCTCTGACCTTGGACTCGTAGGCCAATCTGATATTTACAAAATCGTCAAAATGATCATGGCGAAAAGCTACAACCCGGTCATTGTTTTCGCTTTCAGCAAGCGCGAGTGTGAAGCTCTAGCCTTACAAATGTCCAAACTGGAGTGCAACTCGGAGGAAGAGCAGGAAATGGTCCAAAACGTGTTCACGAACGCTATTGCTGCACTCTCTGAAGAGGATCGACAGCTCCCTCAAATTGACCACCTGCTCCCTCTTCTCAAGCGTGGCATCGGTATCCACCACGGTGGATTGCTCCCAATTCTCAAGGAGGTCATCGAGATTTTGTTCCAGGAGGGGCTCATCAAGGTCTTGTTTGCGACCGAGACATTCTCGATTGGGCTGAACATGCCCGCCAAGACTGTTGTTTTCACCGACGTGGAGAAGTTTGACGGTCGATCTGTGCGTCCACTTTCATCTGGAGAGTACATTCAAATGTCGGGTCGTGCTGGGCGTCGTGGACTTGATGACCGTGGTGTGGTCATAATGATGGTCAATGCGAAACTTGAGCCGGCGACCGCAAAGGGAATGGTCAAGGGGGAGGCGGATCGGCTGGACTCGGCGTTCCATCTGGGGTACAACATGGTGCTCAACTTGATGAGGGTCGAGGGTGTCAGCCCCGAGTACATGCTCGAGCGGTCTTTTTACCAGTTCCAGAATGGCGCCAAGGTCCCTGGCCTCGAATCCCGTGAGTTAACGGGTTAAATTGTCGACTCGTGCTAATAGTATATTTAGAGCTGTCCGAGCTGGAGGAGAAAAAGGCTGGGTTCGTTGTACCTGAAGAAGAGTCGATCGCCGAGTATTTCGAGATTCGAAAGCAGCTTGACGAACTAGGACACGATTTCCAGACAGTAATCACACACCCGACGTACGCGCTACCGTTCTTGCAACCGGGGCGACTCGTTGCTGTCAAACATGAAGGCCAGGACTTTGACTGGGGAGTGGTGGTGAACTCTTCACAACGGACTGCGGCCAGGGTGAGTTTCAGCCTTCATCGTATTTGCTTCTTATAGATATTTTGCGTAGACCAAGTCGGCAATGACGGCGTTTGAGGCGCTTCCACCCCAGGAGAAATGCGTTGTCGACGTCCTCCTAAATTGCGCCAAGGGCTCCACGACGAGTTCCAAATCTGGTCCTTCAGGGTTCAAACCTTGCCCTCCTGGTCAAGAGGGTGAACCACTTGTGTGCCCCGTCATGTTATCGACCATCGCGAGTATCAGTCACCTGCGGGTACATTTACCCAAGGATTTGCGTGCATCGGCCCCGCGAGAAACGTTGTGGAAAGTCGTGCTGGAAATCAAGAGGCGATTCCCAAAGGGTCTTGCCTTGCTCGATCCCATCGAAAATATGAACATCAAGGACTCAAAGTTTAAAGAGTTGGTCGAGGTACGTACCAGAAGAAATAGCGGTATTGTTGGCTGATAATTCGCCTAGCGCATTGCTGCCCTCGAAAGGCGCTTGGAAGCCCATAGCCTACACAGTGACCCGCGTCTCCCCACCATCTATGACGCTTATGCTCAGAAGCAAGATTTGATTGGGGAAATTCGTGCAGTAAAGAAGGCCCTCGCAGCCGCGCACGACGTAATGCAGATGGACGAGCTCAAGTGCCGCAAACGTGTGCTTCGTCGGCTTGGATTCGCGAGTGCGACCGACGTGGTGGAGATCAAGGGCCGAGTGGCGTGCGAAATCAGCACCGGAGACGAGTTGCTATTGACCGAAATGATTTTCAATGGTGTTTTCAACACGTTGTTGCCCGAGCAGTGTGCCGCGCTCTTGAGCTGCTTTGTGTTTACTGAAAAGGTGCGGAGATGCAACGGTTTGACGGTAATAGATGCTGATGCTATGACAGAGTGAGCAAAAGACGAAGCTCAAGGAAGAGCTTGCTGGACCTTTGCAAAAGCTTCAAGAGATTGCTCGTCGGATCGCCAAGGTCTCCAAGGAATCTAAACTCCCACTGGATGAGGAAGAATACGTGCAGTCGTTCAAGGTTGAGCTGATGGACCTGGTATTGCAGTGGTGTCGCGGCGCCAAGTTTGCGGACATCTGCAAGGTTTGGCTCATACTATTACCTACGAGCTCATCTAACGCTACTTTAGATGACCGACCAGTTTGAAGGCAGCTTGATTCGTGTGTTTCGGCGACTCCAAGAACTAATCCGACAAATGACCCAGGCGGCGCATGCGATCGGGAACACGGAACTGGAAGAAAAGTTTACCAAGGCGTCTGCGATGCTCGAACGCCAGAACTCGGTCATCTTTTGCTCGTCGTTGTATCTGTAGATGTATAGCATTGGTCGATGTGACGCAGATCGCAGAACGAGATTGCCTCGTTGAACATAATTAACAACCCTCGGTAGCTCAGTTGGAAGAGCGTGGGACTGTAATTGGTAAAGCTTAGTAACATAAGCACATCCTCATCCCAAGGCCACTGGTTCGATCCCGGTCTGAGGGACATCTTTTGCCCTTACTTGGGCTCTATTTTATTTTTGGTATCATCAGGGGAGCCAGATCAGTGCTGCTCTTTGATTGTGCTTTATTATTAGCCCAGAAATGCATATGTACTATTATCATTGGTAGAGCATGACTTATAGGTCTGAGCAATACATATATCTTGCACATAGATCTAGTTTCTAGTCTGTAATGGGCTAAGTATTGAGATTAAGAAAAAAGCATGCTAGAATAAATGCACCAGTGGAAAGCACCGGAATGGTCTGTAGCCATGAAACTTAGCCAAAGCATGCATTCTACATACATGTGCCTATGTGCAAATTATCAGGTCAATGATACTTAATGGAGCAAGTTAGGAGTTAAGATGTGGACACAAAAGTGTTTACATGTGAGCACACTATTACTTTTTGTTCGCTTAGGGTCTTACCTCCTGTAACAACTGAACTGTCAAAAGCTCTCAAAATCCCTCCTGATAGCCACAGACCTGACATCAAGTCTGGTGTGTTTGATGCTTGGCACCTATGTTGGGTGAATTTTCAATGTTGATGTATTTAGATGTTATTTATATCATTGCATGCACACTGAAAGCATGATCCTGACCATACAAAAATGGTGCCAAAAGACCCTAAATCTGATGAGTTATAGTGTATTTTCTGGCAGTATCTTGAGTGTCCACTTTTTCAAGAAGTTTCAGGTCATGCAGAAAACCATACCTGAAATCACAATAAACTCAGCAAAAACCCATGGGGGTAATTAAGAGTAATGAGGTGTAATGAGGTGTATTAGAACCAGGACTTGGGTAATGGGGTAATGGTGGAATGAGGCACCATTACATGTCATTACATCATTACACAACCCCTGGTTCTATTACACCACAGGTTTTTGCAGAGAAAGTCCCAGAAAGGCACAAGTTGTTAAAAAGAAAGAAAGAGAAGAAAAAAGCTGAGTGACTGGCACTATTGTGACTGTAGAGATCTGCCTAGTCACATGACCACAGCAAACCAATGCAGATGTAATGGAAGAAAAAAACTGAAAAAATAAAAGTTGAGGGTGATAGCCAAGAGGACAATCACATGACAGGCTCCACAAAGTTGATCTCAGCATTGCAAATCTGTGAGCACAGCCACTTCCACTTAACACCTGTGCAACCAGCTGATTTTCCTTTCTAGAATTCATACAAATCTTCAACAAAATGTGATATTCCCCTTCACTCACAGCAAGCTCACATCCTGCATTGCTTTCACCTGTGCCCCATATTTCGTCTCCTGCATCTGCATCCTGATCAATTTGGGTCCCACCCAAGTTATCACAGTCACCATGATTGAGACATTTCGTGTAGACACAAAATTTTGTACAATTCATTCAAAATTCAACATGCTACATGATATGCCCCATCTTCTGAGCTACTGCCAAATCCACCTCTTCACTATCAACAAACTTGTTGACCTGGCACGGTGTGTCTGGTGTGAGAGTTTCCTTGAGGATTGCACTAATTGAGAGTGATGGCTCAGGTTCCTTAAGGATACTGTTGTTGAGGTGTCAGAGAATGTCTTCCATCGCTTCAAGCAGTTCGGGCATGCAGATATTCAATTCCTCTGGGTCCACCTGGTTTTGAGTCAATTTCTAATCTGGATTTCAGCAATAAAAACTCACGTCACATAACTTGGCCATCTCCTCAACCTTGGCCTCAGTCAATGTTGCCCACCAGTTGATCTGTGCAACCTTGTCATCGTCCAGCTTCATACCCTGGATGAACTGGGTTGCCAGCTTACGTGCCTTTAGCGATATCCAGGCACCTTCACCAAGACCAGGTTTCTGGTTGTTGTGTGCATCCTTTAGAGGTTTAAACATCTCACACTCAGAGCATTCAGTAACACAATGCTCTTGGGTCTTGTCAATGCTGTTAAACCTAGACACTGGATAAGCTCATATTTGTGTTAAATCAAAGGTGCATACTGTTTACCACATCCTTCAATTGGACGCTTGTGTATGGAATCAGTCTCCATGACCATGTATTGCACTAGCTTCAGCCACTGGCTATGTGATGCCCTGTCCAAACCATTAGAACAGCAATGACTGGAAGTCACACATCATTTTATTGCTTACTGGTGACATAAGAGTGCAGCCTGGGTTGGGAAGTTAATTGTCTTCAACTGGGTGTTCTTATACTTGCTAACCCTCTTTGATTTGGGAAGAGCATGGCAAACAAGGCATGGCCACTTGCCATTATGCACTGGTGTTTTTGTCAATGAATAATTCCAATTTAATATAATACATACACACCACAACAATCTTCTCTTCAATGGCATTCAGGATGACTGGATGATATAATGCTGTCATAAAACTGATGACAGTTTCTTTCATGTCTGCATCAATGACCTGCATTTCGCAATTGTCATTGAAACCTGGTAGACCCTTCTGGAACTCTACCCCATTCCTGTCTGGGTCCCCCACGGGTTCATCATCGCTCTCCACAAGGAGTTGTGCCCATGCTTCATCCCTATCTTGCTCCTTCTGAAATACCTGGAGAAGATTTGGGTCTTTGAGAGCCTGCACAGCTGCCTCAGTCAAAACTCCATTACCAAATCCACCCTTATGGAAACAGTAAGCAAAAAGTATTTTAATATTCGTTACACACCTTTTCAATGGCTGATGCATTCAACACCTAAAACTAAGCTCATAAACATATCCTGAAGCTGGTGAGAAAGTTAACTGACCAAAGGCTCAAGTTCAGGCTCAGGAAGGTTGTCTGGTGAGTACAGTAATTTCTGGATGGATTCATCCACAGTGTCCTCATGCTCAGTCATTCTCAGTGTATTTTCTTGGTCCTTGATGGCTGACATTTTCTTTTTTTTCAAAGAGGACGCTTGGTGGCTTTAAATGCCTCTGTCCTTGATGCTGAGAGATTCTTCAACTCACCTTGGATCTATGATACTGCTTTCCAGATGTTGCGCAATTAAATATTAGGGCACTCACATCACACAGTTCAGCCTCATTGTCCCAGACTTCTTTTGTGTCCTTGTACTTTTGCAATGCATTGTTGATTGATGCTACCTTAGCTTGACCATGTGTGATTGCTGCGTCATCTGGCATCAATTCATTGAACCTTGCCCAACAAGCAGCTATTTCAGCATCCAAGGCAGCAACCCTGGGATCAGCCTAACACTTGGCTGTTAGGCAACCAATTAGAACTAAAAATCATGCTTACTTTGGCTTTAGCCAGATCCTCTTCAGTGAGTTTGACTGTCACATGTTTCCCCATAGGTGACATGTTGTCTCCCGACTGTATTATTGTATCAGACTGGGAGTGTTGTTTCAGTGCCAGCTATGCAAGGGAATTAGCATGAGTTAAGAATTGATAACGACACACACCTGATTTGCCATGGGGCAGTGTGGTCAAGTTCCCCCAGTGCCACTTGTGTCACAGGAAGGTTAAGTGTGTTATGTGAATAATGGTGATTAAATGTGCTGTCCCTCTTGGTGGCCCAGAGCCCATTGTGCAGCCTCAACGCCCATGATAAGACCAATCTATTTGAATATGTGAGTCAAGGAACCTTACATATATGGTAACTATTACCCTATTTCCCATCTCACAACGAATGCCATGACCAGCGTCAGCAAAACACCTAAAAGCTACTGTAGCCCAAGATTTGCCATATTGGCTACATTGTGTTACATAGCACTCTGTAGCATTACATAGCACTACATAATTTGACTGCATTTCAGTACAAGTGAGACTGCCTGCGGGCTAAATATGTAGCTGTTGGGATGCAACCACCAGGTCTGCTCACGGCT